GTGTAAATGCAAAATTCTATACAAGTCCATTTAGGGAATTTAAATTTCAGACGTTGTATTTTTTTGAAATTTCAATTTTTATAGTTTTTCACTGATGTTTTCTATTTTTTATTTATTACTAGAACATTTTTCTTCATGTTCTTAGGATTTTTTTTTTTTTGTACTGGGAATTGAACTCAGGACCTTGCCCTTCTTGCCCTTGCCAGGCCGGCATTGTGCCACTGAGCTATATCCCAGGCCCACCTCCACGTTCTTGAGCATAGTTATAATAGTTGATTTAAAAACCTCATCAGAAGGGCTGGGAATTTAGCTCAGCAGCACAGCACCTGCCCAGCAAGCACAAGGTCATAAGTTTGATTCCCTCTACTGGCAAAAATAAATAAATAAAAATAAAAGAATAAATAAATAAAAACCTCATCAGCTAGTCATACCTCATAGATATCATAAGTTCAGTTCCCAACCACTGAAATAAATAAATTATGAAAATGTAGTGACTTAATGAATTTTGTTTTTCAGGACAAATAAAAATTATATTTATACTACATTGTAGTCTAGTAAATGTGCAACAGCATAGTATCTAAAAATGTACATATGTTAACTTAAAAATATTTTTTGCTAAAAATGCTAACACTCAGCTGTGTCTTCAGTAAGCTAATTTTTTGCTCATTGAGTGTCCTGGCTCGATGCTGGCTGTTGCTGACTAACTAGGATGGTAGTATGTTGGGTTAATAATATCCCTTAGTTATGGCAGGGTGATCAGGTCTGCAACCTCCCAAACAAGTACATAGCAAAGGCTAAATAAAAAGAGGCAAATGGAATGCTCTCAGGGCTCCAGGAGAATCAAAGCCTTCTCACATAATTCAAGATTCTCTCAGGGCTAAGAACAAGACCTTCTCTGGGAGGCCCATATTTATTTAGTTATCAGAAGAGGGAGGGGAACACTCAAGAAGTGCAGAACCACTCAAGGACTTTTCCAAGGTACTAAATTAATCTACCCAGGCGTGAGATGCCTGTGGCTACAGTCGCTATCTAGTTGAAGTTAGATCCAGGTGACCTTGGCTGTGATCTTGTCTTATCCTTTGAGTCTTTTTGGCTTTATCCACCACTACAGGCCTTAGTAGAGATCAGCAACTCACAGAGGTTCACTTACTGTGAGTCCACCACCCATCTCCACACAAGTGGCTTAGGCTTTGGACAGACTCACAAATAAACATGAAAAGCCAATTGGTTAATTTAAGTCCTGCTCAGGGCTGCTTCATAGGGGTCTCCATCAGTAGTTGCTGAAGGTCAGAGTGGCTATAGAATCTTATTAAAATAAGACAATGAAGTTTTGCCAGATTGATTGAGTCTTCCTTTTATGAAAGATTTCCCTGAGGAATGTTGTTTTTTAAACAGAGTGAGAAAAAAACAATAAAAACTATACAGAATTTCAAAACAAGATGATACGAAATTAACAATGGTTGTTATATTACACATTGTTATCTTCAAGTAGCTGTTCAGATTATAAGATATAGGCATGCAAATTGATCAAACAATATAACCCCTGTGAGGAATGCTTTTTGATAGCATTTTACCACAGTAGAACTTCCTTAAAAATTAGAATCTATCCTCTCAAATTCTACCATGACCTTATCAACTAAGTTTATATAATATTTGAAATCTATTATTGTCATTTCAACAATGATCATAGCAAATTCCCATGAATATATTCCATCTCAAAAAACCAAGTTTCTTTGATTATTCCTAAGAAGCAACTCCTCGTCTTTTTAGGTTTTATTATGAGATTACAGCAATTCAGTCAACTTCCACTTACAACTCTATTTCTATGACTATTTCCTCCACTGAAGTCATAGAATCCTAGAGTCATCTAAAAGGGTTAGAATCAATCTCCTCTAAACTTCTATCAGTTGTGATATTTTGACCTCCTCCCCAAATCATGACTCTTTTGCTGACATGTAGAATGGTGAATCCTGCAAGATTTCAATTTACTTTGCAACAGATCCATCATCTTGCAAAGTTTCTCCATAAGCACCCACTGCTTCACTGTTTGTTTGGGTTTTTTTGTTTGTTTATTTGTTTTAAGACAAGGTCTCACTATGCAGTTCAGGCTGGCCTTGAACTCACTTTGTAGTCCAGCCTGGCCTCGAACTCACAAGCTCCTCCTACCTCAGCCTCCTGAGTGCCAGGACTACAGAAGTGTGCCACCACGCCTGGCTTCACCTTGCACTTTTATGTTACTATAGTTTCTTTCTGTAAACTTCTCAAACAAACCTCTGTTAGCTTCATACTTTTATGTAGCTCCCTCGCATTTCTCAGGTCTTCACTTCACAGCATCCCTCCAGATGAGGCTTTGGTTGAAGTGAATGTTGTAACTCATTTGATTTTCTATCAGGACCAATAAAACTTTCTCCTTATCAACAAAAGGCTACTTTACCTTATAACTTGTATGTTCACTGGAGCAGCACTTTCAGCTTCTTTCAGGAACTCTTCCTTTACATTCTCAACTTGG